AAATGATTGCTCTCCGCTTTCGGGAACTTTTCGCGCAAAGTATTCAACTTCTGGTCGCGACTCAAGTCATCGGGAATATCGGTGGTAATCGTCCCCTTATGGAGCCGTACTTTCAAATCATTTTTCGGATTCACTTTAGTCTCAATCGGTTGGTCTTCTCCGTCCATGTCTTCCGTTTCTAAGCCTTCGTTGGAGTCTTTATTGTATTGTTTGAGTTCCAGAAGCGCCCAATCCTTGAGTTCAGTTTGTGAGGATCGCGAGTAAAACGAGAGACAAACCTCTGAATCCTTGTCGGCCTTATTGTTCAGATCATTGATAGGAAAGGGAGGGAATTCCCAATTGGATTTCGGGACACCGACTAAACTAAACATTCGTTTGTTAATCGCTGAAAGACTCATCTCTTGATGACTACTACTCGCACCACAATTTACTTTGTCTGAAACGTTGGTCGCTTCCCAGGGCTCTTCGCACGCCATGTCTTCAGCGCTCTCTTCCTTCAAACAATCATTTTTGAGCGCATTTTTCTGTTTGCTATCGCTTTGAGACTTGGGATCCAAAAGGGAATTATCAATTAGTGGTTGAGTACTACACGAAGAACTAGGAGTTGGAAATGGCTGCTCATTGTGAGTATATGTAAACTCGTCGTCTCTCTCCCATCCAGACTCTTGACCACAACTACTTCCGCCTTCAGATGCGTTAACGGAAGAGCAGTCCTCAGAGTCTGTGTTGCGTTGATTGAGAGCTAACAGCAAATCAATGTCTATTTGATTCTCTGTGACCGGAGATGTCGGCTCTGTTGAGTTCGGAGATGACGTGGACGTCATGTCAGCTAATTGTGCGCTTAATTGAGGCAATTCTTCGCAATCATTATTAATTGTTTTCGCAAAAGCATTCGACGGACTACTACTCGACCGCAAAATCAATTGTTTTGCGCCATTTGTCGACACTTTGGATATTTTGTTGACCTTTTCGTCAGAGTTTGACTTCTGGAGCGAATGACTTGAGGGTAAGCTCTTGACGACGTCTTCGACAGTGAGTCTCTCAAACTTGTGAGACATTAATTCGAGTTTCTCTTTAGGAATTCCATGGATATTACGTTTGGATAACTCTTTCAGATTTCTACTCCAATGAGTGTCGGGTTCTATGAAATATATTTTATAGTCTTTTTGATACCCAAGACTCACATAAGGCCTCATTTCCCAGCCCTCGAGGTTTGTGTTGTCGATCACAACCGGTGTCTTCCCGTTCTCGATATACTTTTGAGCCCTCTTTTGGTTCCACTCGTGAGCGATAGGCAATTGGTAGGCATCGAACCGATAGTTGCCGTTATTTATAAAGTAATCGTCTGTACTTAAGATTATGCCATCGGAACCATAAACCAAAAAGTTAGCTAATGTTGTCTTTCCACTGCCGGGCAGTCCTCTCATCAATACTAATACTTTGCGGCGATTTTGAATCATTTGCTTGATTTCGTCTTTCAAATCAGTGTCTTTCGATTTGGGCGCCAAATGACTAGTTTTGCCGCTAATATTAAACGCTTGATTAACTTTGGGTGAAAAAAGGTTGGCGAACGGCATCATCGCGTTTAGGGGAGACTTTTGGGCCACTTTCGGGTGAATCGGCGCTACATTGAGCACATTTACTGAGTCTTCTGTTGTACTATTGAATGGATACCTCGTATTACAATTTGTACTGTCGTAAAGCGGGGGCTCCCATAGAGTCCGAGGCACTTCCGCTATGGTTGGCAGTGGGCTCTCCGAGTTTGGCACACAATCAATGGCATTGCTATCACACAATTCCAGCAGACATTCCAACGTCTTGTCAACTGGTTATACAAAAACACAAAATCCATACAAATTTATTGAATGCAATCAATCAATTGCAACACACAATACAACTGTCTGTCAGATCTGTTTAAACAGTTTTAATGTTTATGAGAAGAAAATATTTGTCGATTATATGATTTTTGATGAGAATTCTAGCAATTGTTTGTGCTTTAAATCACACAAATAGCTCATCATTACGTAAAATCATATGATATACAGTACACTATTGATCGATACTATCCTTAATGGAAAACAATTTAAATTCTTGTTTATAACAACTTTCAAAGTGAACGCTATTAACCAAAACCAATGTATTTATTTGAAAAATATTAGCAAATCTTTCATGTTTTGACATAATATCACAATTAAATTAAACATTTATTTGAAATTACAGTAAACTATTGCATAAGTTTGATATTCAAACTAGATTTACACAGATCTGTACGGGTATTATAATCTAAGGGTTAATACAAAATTGCAACATTTCCACCAAATTCTTGCCCTAATTATAAATCGATGTAATTATCATAAAATTCTGTGCTTATAGTCTCAATGCTCTCTACATTTTAGAGGTTACTATCAATACAAACAACAAAATAACACAATTAAAAATACAAATCATTGAAAAAATAAAGCGAATTATTCATTAAAAACTCAATATCCAGTCTTAATGCTATTCAATTCAGTCACGCATTAATCATGTGATAAAATGGATTGAAAAATAAAATCATATAAAAAATATTAAAAACAAGAGATTAAAAATTGTATGCTTTGACAGCAGGTATCGAGAAAACTAATAATTCAGATAACGGTAAAGAAAAGCACTATTTTATCGCAACACAAGTGATACCCAAATCAGAGGCAAAGTCTATGTATTGATTAAGTAATAAATGATCTCAACATATATTATACACTGAAATAACAGGTGAAATGTTGGCATTCAAGTAATCTACCCATAAGTATAGCGCGTGTATTGCTATAAAACTAAATTTGAAGTAAATCTAATTTATTATGAATACTGTTATGTAAGACATAGAAAACAGCACTTCTTATGGTTAATCTGGTTTTAGCTTTAAATTCATGAGCAGTCCATAGGAATCCTATCATAGGATACCAAACGATAAAATCAAAAAACTTTGCAAAAATAAAAAACAAAATTAAAAAATATTTAACTTTTATTAAAAAAAATAACTTTAATCTCAATTCAGACACACCTATAGTTTGCATACATGTCTCAATTGATGGCAATATCCGATTGCCAGTCGTTTTCTAAACTAATTTTAAGATTTCATTTTCATAATTACTTTCTTATGACAGGAATTCATTGCAGAGAAAAATAAAACAACTTTTTTGGCGTAAAATTTAGAATAAAAAGCACTAAAAAATTAAGAAATGAGAAAATATTTTCTATTAATAACGAAATGGATATGAAATGCAATTCATTTGACGACAAACTACTAATCATTTGGACCG